TTAGCTCTGCCCATCCTTTGTCCCACTCTGCCCAAGAATGACCCTGTTAATTTGCCTGCTACTCTAGTTCTGGTTCTGGGACTACAGAGAAGGACCCTGCTCTGCTCTCGTGAGTTACTCCAGATAGTAGAACCCCAAGTACTGTTCCAGTACCCTGTGGGATACCCCCTGTGACTTGGGGTTGAATCTCTCTCACCCAGACCACCCTCTTGAATAATGCTACTGTGACCACATGCTTTAGATGCTTCCCCCATTTCTGTGTCCAGCGAATTCCCCAATCCTGTCCCCTCTGTGAATGATCTGGCCTATTGCTTCTGGAGGGAAGCCTCAGATCCTTTGTGGATGCTTTATATATTGGATACATTTTGCTTTATGATCTGCTTCTTAATCCCTTTGCTCCCTATCGCTTTTGGAGAGCATTTCTTCAGCAGGGCCTCTCAGTTCCTTAGAATTGCTTTTTTAAGGCAGTAACTGCTAGTGTTTGCAAGTCCAACTTTACTTTTTTAAAAACCAAAAAGGAAGGAAAAAAAATAAAAGAATTCTCTTAAGCCCACAGGAAGCATTATGGGAAGAGAGGCCAGGCTGTCCTGTGACTCTGCATTTTAAACAGGTATCTCTCCTCATGATGAGAATTACTTTGGCCTGGGTTGAGCTTTCCCCATGGACCCTTTCCACTTAAGCTTTTTATTTAAAACGTAAATTGGGATTATTGTATTCCCTCCCTTTACTTTGGAAGTAAAAATTTTAAATTAATTGTGGTCTAAAATGATAGCAAACAGAGAGGTTCTGATAGCAGTCTGGTGGCCTCTTGTTTAGCCAGCAGAGATTTCTGTTATTGCTGCTGGGAATGGCTTGGCTGAGGTATTTTTAATTGACATTTTTTCTTCCTCTAATGAAGGATTGAATTATGACTTACTATAAAATCCCCCAGTGTCGTGTCGTGGAGAGAGAGATGTTGACTGACTTCCTCTGACTTGATTGGAGTGGAGCTATTTATTGGAGCTAGGTTTTAAGTCACAGGGGTGGCATTCTGAAGGAGTTTTGCTTTTAAGGCAGCACTATCTGGAAATGCCTTTAGCTCTGTTCAGTGCTTCAGCACAGCGGGCAGTGTTGTAAAAGATAAGAAGGGCATTTCTGTACCAGTGGCTGGCGTAGCACTACTGGGTTGTCCACCCTGGTAGGATCAGTCACCATGGTTCTAAGTCAGGAACTTCCCTGGCCCTACTGAACCTGCTTCTGCCTGGGAAAATAGGGAAATCCCAAATGTCAGCCTCTGGATATAGCCACCACCTGCCAAGAGAACCATCCCCAATGGACAGGACAGATTTGTAAACAGTAATCCCTGTGCTATAACAATAGCTCTCTGCCTGCTACATAGTGGGGATGGTAAAAATGTGGATGTTGCAAAATGTAATCACTGGCCTGGAAATTTCCCTTCTGTGGCAGATGGTAGGATCAAGAGCAAAGACAGACATGTCCTTCCACAAACCAAGGGCAATGGTTACACAATAGGCTTAGGTAACAGCCACTAGAGTAGACAGCTTTAGGCAAAACTCAGGGATATGTAATAAAATAACTTCTTTGAATCCGGACAGCTTGGATGAAACATCTTTTGAGGATATTGGACTGGAATCCCACTATAAGCATGGGCTACCCAGTTCAGACTTCAGGCAACAGAGTAGTTGTGTCAGGTTTGTCTGTGTCTTGAGACAACTGCACTCTAGACATTACCATATTTCAGGAAAAGAATTTTAAAAGAAAGGAAACAGCACCCAAACTGGGAGTAGAACTCAAGCATATCAACCTTGGAATAACATTTACTCTGTGCCTCCAGTTTTCTGAAAACAGCTTTAACCAAAAAAATAGTTTTTGAAGTTGCCTATGAGAGAATCTGTCCTGAAGCTTATGTGAGAATTTTGTTATTGGCGCAGCACCAACCAATATATGGTCTCTCAAGGTGCATGTTCATTTGTTTGCACTCACCTTATATGTAACTGGTGCACCCCCAGCTCATGTTGCAGAGATAGAGCATTTTCCTGAGGATTGAATTAGACATGCTGTGGAGTTCAATTAATGCACTTTTTCTCTAAATACAATGATTTTCCCCCCAAGCATTAAGCCAACTAACACATGGAAAAGATCCTTTAATGTTTTGTAGAAAACAGTCCCCACTTGGTAATGTACACGGCAAGTTGAAAGATGGCGTTTGGTTTTTCCAATCGCTTCAAAAAGACACACTATTTCCTATTTATTGTTTCTGTTTGGCAAAGATCAGATTCCTAAAAGCAAGAGGGAGATAATTTCCTGAAGAAATTGAATTTTCTTTCTGAATAATTAAGGCCTTGGGAGTCCAATATTTAGAAAAACTTCAACTAAGGGCTTACAAAATAGGAAGATTAAGAAGAAACATTTTATTTTCTGGTGTCGTACAATTTAAGCCTAAAAGGCAACTGAAAATTGTCTCTCATATTGTTGCAGACATCAAATTGTTCAGATCATATGGTGCAGGAAAACAAAATTTTCTTCTTGTTTCTGTTGGACTTTTTGGTCAGACAATAATTATTCATGAGGAATAACGAGGGTCCCTCAATGCTGCAAACTCAACAGTTGATTTACCAACGAATGGCAAAGCCCTGATAATCACTTGTCTATAAGTTCAAGGACTACTGGCAGGGTGGGGGGAGGGGCAGTTGTCCTTGATGTAGTCTTAAGAGGCAGGAGACAGAGCAGAGCCACACAAGTGTCACCTCCTTGGGGACCAGAAAGTATTGATAAGCATGTACCTGTGTCACAATGATATCACTCAATGGTTACAATCAAGTGTGTATGTTAATAAGGATATGCCATAATAGTAATCATGTTTCATGCTAATTTTTAATGAATTGAGAGCCCTATATTCTTACTTTGTTCTGTTGAAAGTATTCAGCTGAGGATACCCCCATAAATAATAGATATCTAATTCCAGGGTTTAAAAGAGAGTTAGATTTTAGATAAGAAAGTACAATTCTCTAGGAGCAATTTGATTTCCTTGAATATAGCATCCTTCTACTATTTGTAGCGGAAAAACTAGTGATAAGCATATTTTGTTTTAGTAGGGTTTTACCTAATAATACTAAGATTCTTTGGACCATTCATGCATAAATGACAGGAGAGGAAATGGCTGTCATTCATCCTATAATATGAAGAAAAGGAGAGTGGTCAGGGTCACATTATCATTTGGAAATGAGGATGTGCACTGGGATCTTTGCAGCCCCCTGTTCCTGTCCTGTCATTCTTTGAAGGTTGGAAAGCTTGCTTTCCTCTTTGTTCCTATCAATCTGCAAAATAAACTGAGCACCTGATCTTACTCAATCCTCCTGTCCCCTACAATCTTTATTTTAGGTGCTGAGCTACGATTTTATATCATTAATAATGTTTAAAGACTTAAACTTTGGACAATGTGCCAGATCCTACATATCATGACCTCCTCCTCAGAAGCAAGGTGATTGGGATTGGGGAGCAGGAAAAGGTAGCGTGAGTTTCTGCCCATGAATGTGACTTTCTAAGCATAAATGAGAATGACAAAGGAAAGAGACCTTTTGAAAATATAGTCAAAAGGTCTTTGTCAAACTACCAAGCTGAAATTCGTACTACGACTGACCCACTGCCTAACTGCTTGTAATTGGTTTCTCTTCCAAAAAGAAGTAGGTAATGAGAATTTGATTCTAGCAATTCTCCGTCTCAAACAGAATTCTGTGGGAGCTGCTGCTCTCTTTCTATGTTATTTAATCTCTCGCTGAAATATGAGCTCAGGTTTTCATTGGAAACCGTTGGATTCTGAGTTGATTTGGAACGCTTAGAGACCTAGACGAACTGCACCATTTTGAATAAGGTCCCATGTTCCAAGTGTTGAGGTGTGTTTCTAACATCTGTGAAAGAACCTGGGACCGTCTGTCCTCTGCCAGTCCCACCGCACTGTGCCGTGGTCATAATCCATTCAGCAGCAAGGAACGGGTTCTCTTGTGTTCAGCACAAACAGGTACTTAATTGGGAGGCCTTCTTTTCTACTTCATGATTCCAGCTGGAATGTACAGGAACCATAAAGAAGTTTGTGATTGTTCTTGCCCCATCCGTGTCCTTCACTGTCCAGGCTTACACCTGTTTTACAAGGAGCGTGCTGCCAGTTGCCTACATGCAGTTGGAGAACTAAGTAGGGATCCTAATAAATGGGCGAAACAGATGGAGGCTAGAAGCTCTTGCGAAGTTAAAAGAATTGTGTGCTTAATAGACTAAATGCTTAATAGCAGTAATAGCTGCCAAGTCACCACATAACTCACTGATATGCATGGACTGTAGCTGCAAGAAAGTGACTGCTTTCAGTCTCAAGGACTTTCCTAAAAATTCAAGGTTGTAAGAACCTAACCTAGAGAATAATTACTTGTCCAGACGTGATAACAGACTCTGGCAGAACAAAAATGACAGCTTGATTCACAGACAAATATAAGTCGGTCTTGGATGTCTGGCTTCCATTTTTCTGTGGAGAGATAGATGTCTTTAAAAAGCCTCAGCAGTGAACATCCTGTCAGTTTAAAAGGTCAGACACTGAAGTGTATCAGAAGAGATGATGCTGCACAGACCATTGAGAGAAAAGAAAATGATTTCATTATCCTCGTTCATCTGCTATGGATTAATTCAGTTCCCATCATTGTGGCAATTAAGGCACTTTTGTAGAGCTGTCCTGACCTAGTTGAGGTGGAACCAGGTAATAAAAGGCAGCGGCAGGGAGGAGGGCAACTATGGCTGAGTTAATATTCCTTAGGAACAAACGATGTTTGGAAAAGAGTTCGGAGTTGATATGTGCAACTGCATCTGATGAAGAAAAAAGAGCCTAAACAAAGAACAACCCCTAGAAATATTTCCCTCTAGGTCAGAAAGTGACTTTTGCATCTTGGGTAGCCCGTGAGTCACGCCAGGGCTTGGAAACAATCACGTAAAAAAACGGCATGTTTTGCTTTTCACAGGGGACACTACGGACATGAATGAGAAGATAGAAGAATTCTGGGAGAACTGCTACCCTCCTGGGTCAAAGATGGGGCTGCTTTTCTGCCAGTTGGACCTTCTCAGTACCTGAAATGTAACATCTAGAAAGAGAACACATCAGATCCTCCTAAATTAGTTTCTTCTGATTCTGTTTGCTCAGTCACTCCAGCTCAAAAGCTCTGTCACCATGTTTAACTACTTGTCTAGTACCCCTTATATTACTTGCCAATTTATATTCATTCTGTGTCCACTGCCTTCACAATGTCTTCTTTATCACTTCCCTTCTTTCCACTCCCACTTACACAGTCCTCACAGAAGCCCTCATTACTCCTCACTTGGACAACCGTAATAGCTTTCTAACTGTCTCCTCACCTACCCTTTCCAAGCCCTAATGCATTCTACTCGCGACTGACATATTAATCTTCCTAAAGTCTATCTTTAATCATGTCATCCCCTTGCTTGCAAATGTCAAATGTCTTCCCAGTGACTACTAAATTAAGTACTAAGTTTTCGCCCTAACATTCAAGGCTCCCCAGAGTAAGCCTTAGCTGATCATTTGTGCCTCATTTCCCATTAGTCTTCCAAGCCCCTTATGGTCAATCTAGACTATGAGCCAATCCTCAGTCACATCTCCTGAGCAAATCCCTCTATTCATTCTTGTCCTTCTTCAAAGAATGTCCTTTGCCCTCATTTTAGCTTAGAATGCCACCCATTCTGCAAGGTCAGTCATGGAATGCTTCATGGAACATTTCTGGACTTTCCCCTGCTGAATATAATTTCTCACCATTATTTGTGCCTCTCTTAAAGCACTAATCACAGTCCTATGAAGAGTTAAAAAGTTGCAGGAACTTAGAGCAAGGAGATCTATCCAACTTACTCTCTCATGAATTGGAGCAAGAATGTAATCCTTTAAAAATCTCAGTTTATGTAATAAAATTCAACAAATATTTATTAAGAACCATCTCTATGCTTGGAATATAGCAGTGAACAAAACAAATACTTACCTTCTAAGGGAGATGGCAGATATACAGGCATTTAGAAATATACAAGGTGGGCATCTGGATGGTTCATGTGGTTAAGCATCTGACTCTTGATTTGGGCTCAGGTCATGATCTCAACGGACTAAAATTTGTATTTCAGGTTTGAAAAGAATAGCCTTTTTATTTATTTATTTTTTTTCAACATTTTTTTTATATATATGAAATTTATTGTCAAATTGGTTTCCATAGAACACCCAGTGCTCATCCCAAAAGGTGCCCTCCTCAATACCCATCACCCACCCTCTCCTCCCTCCCACCCCCCATCAACCCTCAGTTTGTTCTCAGTTCTCAACAGTCTCTTATGCTTTGGCTCTCTCCCACTCTAACCTCTTTTTTTTTTTTTTCCTTCCCCTCCCCCATGGGTTCCTGTTAAGTTTCTCAGGATCCACTTAAGAGTGAAACCATATGGTATCTGTCTTTCTCTGTATGGCTTATTTCACTTAGCATCACACTCTCCAGTTCCATCCACGTTGCTACCAAAGGCCATATTTCATTTTTTCTCATTGCCACGTAGTATTCCGTTGTGTATATAAACCACAATTTCTTTATCCATTCATCAGTTGATGGACATTTAGGCTCTTTCCATCATTTGGCTATTGTTGAGAGTGCTGCTATGAACATTGGGGTACCAGTGCCCCTATGCATCAGTACTCCTGTGTCCCTTGGATAAATTCCTAGCAGTGCTATTGCTGGGTCATAGCGTAGGTCTATTTTTAATTTTCTGAGGAACATCCACACTGCTTTCCAGAGCGGCTGCACCAATTTGCATTCCCACCAACAGTGCAAGAGGGTTCCCGTTTCTCCACATCCTCTCCAGCATCTATAGTCTCCTGATTTGTTCATTTTGACCACTCTGACTGGCGTGAGGTGATACCTGAGTGTAGTTTTGATTTGTATTTCCCTGATAAGGAGCGACGCTGAACATCTTTTCATGTGCCTGTTGGCCATCCGGATGTCTTCTTTAGAGAAGTGTCTATTCATGTGTTCTGCCCATTTCTTCACTGGGTTAATTGCTTTTCGGGTGTGGAGTTTGGTGAGCTCTTTATAGATTTTGGATACTAGCCCTTTGTCCGATATGTCATTTGCAAATATCTTTTCCCATTCCATTGGTTGCCTTTTAGTTTTGTTGGTTGTTTCCTTTGCTGTGCAGAAGCTTTTTATCTTCATAAGGTCCCAGTAATTCACTTTTGCTTTTAATTCCCTTGCCTTTGGGGATGTGTCGAGTAAGAGATTGCTATGGCTGAGGTCAGAGAGGTCTTTTCCTGCTTTCTCCTCTAAGGTTTTGACGGTTTCCTGTCTCACATTCAGGTCCTTTATCCATTTTGAGTTTATTTTTGTGAATGGTGTGAGAAAGTGGTCTAGTTTCAACCTTCTGCATGTTGCTGTCCAGTTCTCCCAGCACCATTTGTTAAAGAGACTGTCCTTTTTCCATTGGATGTTCTTTCCTGCTTTGTCAAAGATGAGTTGGCCATACGTTTGTGGGTCTAGTTCTGGGGTTTCTATTCTATTCCATTGGTCTATGTGTCTGTTTTTGTGCCAATACCATGCTGTCTTGATGATGACAGCTTTGTAGTAGAGGCTAAAGTCTGGGGTTGTGATGCCTCCTGCTTTGGTCTTCTTCTTCAAAATTACTTGGGCTATTCGGGGCCTTTTGTGGTTCCATATGAATTTTAGGATTGCTTGTTCTAGTTTCGAGAAGAATGCTGGTGCAATTTTGATTGGGATTGCATTGAATGTGTAGATAGCTTTGGGTAGTATTGACATTTTGACAATATTTATTCTTCCAATCCATGAGCAGGGAATGTCTTTCCATTTCTTTAAATCTTCTTCAATTACCTTCATAAGCTTTCTATAGTTTTCAGCATACAGATCCTTTACATCTTTGGTTAGATTTATTCCTAGGTATTTTATGCTTCTTGGTACAATTGTGAATGGGATCAGTTTCTTTATTTGTCTTTCTGTTGCTTCATTGTTAGTGTATAAGAATGCAACTGGTTTCTGTACATTGATTTTGTATCCTGCAACTTTGCTGAATTCATGTATCAGTTCTAGCAGACTTTTGGTGGAGTCTATCGGATTTTCCATGTATAATATCATGTCATCTGCAAAAAGCGAAAGCTTGACTTCATCTTTGCCAATTTTGATGCCTTTGATTTCCTTTTGTTGTCTGATTGCTGATGCTAGAACTTCCAGCACTATGTTAAACAACAGCGGTGAGAGTGGGCATCCCTGTCATGTTCCTGATCTCAGGGAAAAAGCTCTCAGTTTTTCCCCGTTGAGGATGATGTTAGCTGTGGGCTTTTCATAAATGGCTTTTATGATCTTTAAGTATGTTCCTTCTATCCCGAATTTCTCAAGGGTTTTTACTAAGAAAGGGTGCTGGATTTTGTCAAAGGCCTTTTCTGCATCGATGACAGGATCATATGGTTTTTCTCTTTTTTTTTTTTGTTAATGTGATGTATCACGTTGATTGACTTGCGAATGTTGAACCAGCCCTGCATCCCAGGAATGAATCCCACTTGATCATGGTGAATAATTCTTTTTAAATGCCGTTGAATTCGATTTGCTAGTATCTTATTGAGAATTTTTGCCTCCATATTCATCAGGGATATTGGCCTGTAGTTCTCTTTTTTTTACTGGGTCTCTGTCTGGTTTAGGCATCAAAGTAATACTGGCTTCATAGAATGAGTCTGGAAGTTTTCCTTCCCTTTCTATTTCTTGGAATAGCTTGAGAAGGATAGGTATTATCTCTGCTTTAAACGTCTGGTAGAACTCCCCTGGGAAGCCATCTTGTCCTGGACTCTTATTTGTTGGGAGATTTTTGATAACGATTCAATTTCTTCACTGGTTATGGGTCTGTTCAAGCTTTCTATTTCCTCCTGATTGAGTTTTGGAAGAGTGTGGGTGTTTCAGAATTTGTCCATTTCTTCCAGGTTGTCCAATTTGTTGCCATATAATTTTTCATAGTATTCCCTGATAATTGTTTGTATCTCTGAGGGATTTGTTGTAACAATTCCATTTTCATTCATGATTTGATCTATTTGGGTCATCTCCCTTTTCTTTTTGAGAAGCCTGGCTAGAGGTTTGTCAATTTTGTTTATTTTTTCAAAAAACCAACTCTTGGTTTCGTTGATCTGCTCTACAGTTTTTTTAGATTCTATATTGTTTATTTCTGCTCTTATCTTTATTATTTCTCTTCTTCTGCTGGGTTTAGGCTGCCTTTGCTGTTCTGCTTCTATTTCCTTTAGGTGTGCTGTTAGATTTTGTAATTGGGATTTTTCTTGTTTCTTGAGCTAGGCCTGGATTGCAATGTATTTTCCTCTCAGGACTGCCTTTGCTGTGTCCCAAGCGTTTGGATTGTTGTATTTTCATTTTCGTTTGTTTCCATATATTTTAAGAATAGCCTTTTTAAAAGAGACAAAGAATTCTGTGCTTTCCTGATTTCTTTATAATTTTCTCTATTTCTTTGCGTACTTAAACTGAAACTTGAATCCAACATTTTTAAGTCACAAACAGATAATGTTTCTTCACATTACATTTTCAGTATGGAAAAAGAATAGATTTTTCTTATCCAAAAACCCCTACCAAGGATCACCAGGAATTGCAATATACCCACTGACATCAACTCTATGGTAGATTCCATCATGAATTTTTAACTGCATACATGAACCTATTTTATGTCTCAATTCTTACTTTTCTTTGTTCTTTTGTTCCCAATTTACACTGCCTAATTGCACCGTTTGGGCCTTTTTAAGTTTTTAAAACTCCTTTCTAGAACAAGGCTTCGACCAGCCAACCAATAAACAAATAAGCATGTTTATACCCTGTAAGCACGTACTAGATATGAATTCCTGCTAATGGTCTCTGGCTCCCAGATGAACTGGAGGAAATAAGATGTATGCATAGTAGGGCAACTACATTCTTTTAGTTCCAGATTGCATGGGTTTCAGAAATCATATAATTTTGCTTTGTTAGATTTGTGTTTCTTACACCGGCTCATTATGGAAAATAAAATGTATCCCACACTTCTGCTATCCTTTTATTTTCCAGTGGGAAGGGAAAAAAATAATGATCCATCGAAAGTTTCTATAAAAGCCAGCACCTATGTTGCCCAAACTTCAATGTATATGTTTATTGCCATTATTAACATTATGATTACATTTATGTCTTCTGTAGTCATTTTTCTCAGTATTTATTAAGATAAAAGTGTTGCCAACAGAATTCCGACAGGTATTCTATTTATAGTCCTAAAATTAAGGCAAAAAGTGATTTTAGTTCTAATAGTTTCGTTACCCAAATAGTTTGTACCCAAATAGTTTCCATTAGTGAAAAAAATCATTATCTCCAATTCCCCCACATTCTTTCTGCACAGATATAAAGAATTTATACTTATGGGGACAATGATGAATAGGTATGAGCCTCTGCACAAAATATCACACAGGCTTTGGTAAAATACAATGTAATTCTAAGGCTAGGGTAGCAATAGATAAGCATAGGCAAAGGAAATATGCATACAGAACACAAACATCATCATGGAATATTAAGGTAGCTCCAATCTAAATGTGGTCCATAGTTCTAGAAATTAACTCTGTGTGTAAGTTCTTAAACTGTCTTTATGCTGCAGAGAAAATGACTTGCCATCAGTCTGAGAAAAGAAACTGAAGAAATGCATTTGACGAGGCCGCAAAATAAAAAAAAAATAAAATAAATAAACAAATCCCGTGATGAAGATTGCCATATTGGATATTATATTATTTTAACATAAGGAATAAAAAAAGATTAAAGAGTGACATTTGGGGGAAATGAAGCCATAAGAAGTTCATATTTTAAAGAGCAGAGCGAACAGATGAAGCATAAAGTGACAGTGTTATTATTTTTTGTTATTAAGATTATTGCAGCAGTCGCTTTATATTTCGATTCACTGTTTTGATTCATGTTGAAGCCTGGCTCTTTTGAGCACTAGAGATGGCTAGGTCAGAGGACAAAGGAGACAACCGTGCCTGAACCTAAATGTCATTGGCACTGAACCAATGGAGACCACTAATGGAGCAGA